AGTCACCAACAAGGCAGCTGTAACATTGCTTCAGATCCTGCTTTTGGTATAAAAAGCAAGAGATAAAGATGATAGAAAGCACCAGATATTCTTGTGCATGTGCAAGGAAAAGATGCACACTCTAGTAAGTGGCTGCTCTGGACAGAATACAGTTTAGCAACCAACATGTGGTAGGTACAATTTTTTGCACACGCCTGGGAGCCCACAAATGGCCATCATATCCTTGAATTTTACCTCAAGGCATTTGTTTAAGCAGCTATGACACATACACTTACTAGGAAAACCACACCACCTCTGGCTCAGGAAGTTCCTGACTCTCAAAACACTGGCACCCAGAGAACTTAACTAAATGAAGAGAGAAAATCAATCATTCACTCTTTGCTTGTCCTATTCTCATATGCTTCCCAAGGCACCTACTGCTGACCACTGCCTGTGTGGGTAAATAGACCTGGTTGTAAAAGAACAGATCACCATCTTAGCTCTGTGGATGAAGGTTCCATTTTCTTTTGGTTTCTCCAAGTTATTAGTAGAGATACGATAGCTTTTTTTTTTCCTTCCTCCCTACAAGTCACCATACAAGTTCCTGTTCCCCCTTCAAAAATCCTGTGATCTAGATTCCCTTGCCTCAGCAAGACCATGTCCTCCCATCTGGGACCAGAGGATAAGAAAGACACCTACCGTTCCATAATGGCCTCAGAGAAATACAGATGCAATTAGTCACTCAAGTTCTCAGTATTGTCCCTCCTGTCCTAAACTCCACTCACAGCGCAAAGGACAAATCAAGCCAATAGAAAGCAGATTAGAATAGGCATTAGCATCTATGTACTCAAATGCACTGGTAAGATTCTTACTGACTTCAGCGAAGTACCTTCATATCACAAACACTAAGATGGCTTAGGGATTTTCGAAGCTGAAAGAGACAGTATTGCAGCAGGGATGGGAAGAGAGCAAACTCAGAAACAGGTCAGGAAATGAGAGCACTAGGTCAGAGGGTAAGCTTATGATGCAGAGCCCAGAAAAGGAACAAGTTTAAGGATTGATTCGCATTTTTCAGCTCTACTTGGAGAAAGGATCCTTCTGAAAACTCTCTGCAGCTTGCAGTACACTGTTACCATCAAACATTAACATGAGAATAAATCTCTAAGGAAAAAAAAAAAAAGGTAATTTACGTCATTTGAAGATACAGAACATTTATAGAATGCTTATATTTAAAATAGCAGGGAAAAAGCCTTTCTGAAGCAAACTTATGTCAATTCACCCAAAGAGCACAAAGCAGAGGCAGGATACCAGCATCCACCAGAAAGCAGATTGTGGGTTTATCAGCCCAAAGCACCAGCTCAACCCAAAAAGCACCACACCCCAACAGCAGCAAGTTATCAGCACATGGCACAAACTGATAAACTTTACATCTGCGTGAACTTCAAGATAGGAGGCTTTAGTGAAAAGCCGCCCAGCTCACACAAAGTTATTGGGGGACGACGGGGGAGTGAAGGAGATACAAGCGCCTTCCCGCACCATACCTGCTTTTGCATAGCCAACGAGCCCTCCTGATGCCACCAGAGCAGCGTAGCCAAAGCC